CCAACTTAATTGGAAACTGTTAAAAAGTCCAACGTTTTTTAAAGTTACATATACTCATTGCAAAATCTTGTACGATAGACATTTTAGGACTTCTCCAAACTTCTGATTGTTACGACATTGGGCAAATACGAACAATTTCAAACTTCTCTACTGGGCGTTTCAGATAAACAGTACTAAATGTAAAAAAGAACATCTTTGCAACTATTTGGGCTATAATGCTACAAAACTTGGTCTTTTTCACACCCCCCTTTTTCACCAGAATAACTCTTTTAAAAGTGTAGTGGAAAGATTTGCTTTTCATACTTTACATTGTATCTTTACAAATTCAGCCATAGTTACACGAAAAAAAAAAGGGTAAAAATGAAAATTTGAAGGGGGATTTAGTGTTATTTTTTTAATAAGAAATCTATAGATTATTTTGAAATTATGCAAGCAGGGTTATTAAGAGTCGGTGAACGTAATTCAGACTCTTATAAAAGTAATAATAATTTTTTTAAGAACCGATAAACGTAGTTCAGGCTTTTATATAGGTCGCGATGATTTTTTCTTCGATTATTTTTCAGGAAAATCTAAAAATTTGTTCAGGCTCTAATTTACTTTTTCATAGTTTGACTTTTGATTTTTTTGTAAGTTCAGCATATTGCCTTTGTAAAAAAGAAGGCAAACTTCACTATCGAACAGAACAAATGTAAAGGTCACGAAGAACTTGATCAACTTGTAAGTTCGAATTTTGAGTTAATTGGTCAGATTTCTCTGCGAAACAGAAAATTTAATTATCGATCCAGTTTTCTCAAATCGGATAAATTTTATCAAAAAATTTTGAATCTTAAATTGTTCTAGAAATTTAGAGCTCTAAGTCCATCTATTTTTTTTTCTTTGAAATCTAAAGTTGAGATTTTTTCAAAAAAAAAAATCAGCATTGTTTTTTCTGTTTAGTTTCGACCATTAACTCTTTTCCAACTGTCCGTTGGCTATATTTATGTTTCTTCAGGAAAAATTTTAAAGTGCTCCACATTCTAATACATTTGGTTTTATTACAAAACCTTGAAAAATCAATGGTTCTTGCAAATACGTGGTCTCTCAAATACTGGTCTCTTCTGCCATACAGGAGCTTGAAAAATTAAGAAATTGATCGAAAAAGACTATGAAAATTGTTGTCAAAAGTGTGGCAGCGATGTCTGTCAAATGGGCATCTCTAAAATTGTCTCAAGTAAACATCTGAATCATGACATCCCAATACCCAAGTACATGTCTTCCAAACCCCTTGGAAAACTTTACGCAAGAATATAAGCAAAGTTTGCTATACCATTAAACTCTTTACCAGTAGCAATTAGCAACATTTAAATACTTGAACAAATCAGCAGTGAAAAAATAAAACCGCTTAATAAGACGAATATAATTATTAATCGGATTTATCGGAACACCTTAACAAGATATCTGAAGCTAATTGACTCTATTCAGCAAAATTTTGACAAAAAAAAATATAAAATTTACCACTAGACTTGCAAAACTAGATGAAAAATCCCAATAACGTCAATAAAATATGGTCTTGGAAATTTTTTTTTGAACTGCATAAATTATAACGAATTACATTACAAAAAATGAAAAATCAGTACAACATGAAAATTTTTAAAATTTGTTTAACCTAATTTTTTTTCCGAGCTTAAACTCAGAATTCTTTGCGAACGTAGTCAAATTAAATCTCCATAGTTTTTTGGCGCCAGAATAAGATTTTGCGAAAAATTTCATTGTTGGTTATCTTGCAAGTTCTTGCAGGAATCTTGCAAGATCTTGCAAGATAACCTCACTCCTGCAAGATAACCTCACTCCTGCAACCTCACTCCTGCAAGATAACCCTATTTTGCCCGAATCTTGCAAGATCTTGCTAGATAACCCTGCTTGATTGACTATGGTTTGGCTCAACTCCTGCTGTAAATTTTTGAGAATTTGTAAACTTATGGGTTAATAGATAATTCATATAATTGGCGGGAATGAATATTTTTTTTTTATTAGAATTGCAAATTTGGTCGCTGATAACTTTGCAATCATCATTATTCGAAACAGTGATGCTCAACAAAATTATCGGTTGCTGTGTCAATAGTACTAGTTATAGTTATAGATATTTTTGTCCATCACTTTTTTGAAAATTGCGGATTAAAAAAATTACGGAATTAGTTTTTTTATGCCTGTTGGGGGTCTTTATGTGTCTTCGTGTTTTTAACAGTTCGTTTACTAAGTAGTAGATCAAACAAAAAAAACAACTGTTTTTGATTTGATCCTCAAGATGTTATGAGAATGATGTCGTTTTAATGTCATAACTAATATTTTAATATTGGTAGTCAAGTGTAAAAAAATTGTATCCAAATCACGGCTACAAAAATTTCTATGTGACTCATCTCACAACTTCCCATAACTATATTTTTGTCAAGAAATGCATCCGAACCTATAGTATTCCTCACCTCCAGTGAGACATTGCATCATACAGAATCAAGCTCACAGCGAACACTGAAATCAGTTTAGGTTAGCTTTTGAGTAAATTTTCTATCAAAATCTACATAGAAACGCGTAAGAGCTATTGGAACTGCCGAGAAAAATTTTGATAAGTAATCTCAAGTCTCAAGAAAAATGGCGCTTATCAATTGATTTTCATTTTTTTTCGTCATTGTATTTGATTAATGTTTCGCGTTTGATGTTAATTAAAATAAACCAAAATTTTGGTTTTCGTATGATTTAAACTATTGAAACTCGTTTTTGCAAACTCTCAATGAATCACGTTGTTTTTTCACCAAAAAAAAAACAAAAAGCTAATTAATTCCAAATCTGAATTCTATCTAACCTCAAATTACAACTTACAGCTCATGTAAATTCTGTTTGGTCTGATTGATACATCTTTTAAATCACGTTTAGTTTAGTTGTTAATTTACTTTTCTCCTTAATGCAGTTTTATCCAGACAAACTGATCAATAATTTTCTATTAAGATTTCCACAATGAGGATGTACGTCAAAAATGAAATTTTTTTCTAAGGTAGAGTGAATTTTTCTCAACATGAGTTTGCTCAAATGTGGAACTATTTTCGGATGTATTTGATGCTTAAAAGTTTTTAAGTCCAAAACGAAATTTTTGGTGCAATTTGATGAACAATTATAGTACAATTTTTACTTTTCCAGATCGCGTGTTTATTTTCTATAAGTGTTTTGCTTATATTTTAGTTTAAAGTTCATTTCAAACTTATTTACTAAATGGAAAACAATATTGGTTCTACAACTCGAAAAAAGTTGAATGATTTTCAATTTCAAGAAAAAAATTTAAATTCAAAATATCTATTTATCATTAAATATCTAAATATCTACTTTATATTTACCAATTTATCAAGCCTTAAATTGATTTAAGCGTTCATCAAAAAGTCTCAAAAATTTCCTTAACTTACAGAATTAGAAAACCATTACTTGATGCTATAATTTCAAATTGAAAAAAATATGTTACAAATTGAAAAACATAAAGTAATAAACACATGAAAATTTGCAAAATAGATTCAGAAGAAGGTGGCAATGATGAACGATATTTTTCTAGAGGAAGGTACTTTCAAATTGAAATTTGCAAAACTAAGTTTAAATGAAAAAACAAGAAATGCTTCCTATGAACAACATTGTTCATTGTTGGAGAGAAAAAAATAAACTTTGATAAACATTTTCTTCTTTATTGACACCAGGAATTTTTAAAATATTATCTATAGGAAACGAAAATGAGTAGCACTTAAAAACTTGCAAACAGATTTCTTTGAATAAAAATAGTAATTAAGAACATTATTGCAAATAAAGGCATTTTTAGCGTTGGAAACTTGACTTTCGGCAATTTTTTTTTGAAGTCATCCAGTTTTTAAGATTAGAGCGACTGCACCCGAGCCAAACAAAAATAAATTCTGATTGAAAATTTGCAAAAATAGTTCCAGATAACAAATTTATTAATTGACAAAATTTTTAGATTCAGCGGAACTTTTTGAGTTAAAATTATCAGTATGCGTTTGCTAAACCCTTGCTCAATGCATGAATAGTGATTGATATCTTTGAAAAATGGGTTTTCTGTAAAAGGAAAATTATGCATGAAAAATCATCAAATTAATTTTTTTATTTCTGATTTTTTGGTTCATTGGCAAATATTTAATATTCTAGCTTGGTAATTCAAAACGAAAAGTAAAAATTGAGCTGGGAAAGTTATCACGAGCTTTTGTTAGCTATAGAGAACATTTTAAAAATAGAGAATATTTTAAACTTTTGCTAGCTATAGAGAACATTTAAAAATCTCTAAAGAACTTGTTCACTGCAACTTTTCAATTGACTAAAATTATGAGAAATTTCTTTAAAAATGAAATTGAAAACTAATAAAAGTTGAAAAATTTTTCAGCGAGTGTTGGCCAAAACTGAAAAAATGAATCTATCTACAAGAAATCAAAAAGTTTGTAATGTCATTAAGAGGCCAAATCGTTTTGTGAATTGTAAGCGAATTCCGCAACAGGCCAAAAAAAGAATATACAAACAAAGAATAATATACGTGTTTCGTAAACTAAAGCTGTCGTGAAATCCGTAACTGTGAGCGGATTCCGCAATTTCCAAGCGGAATCCGCAAACTGTAAGCTGATCCGCATAAGTATGCCGAATCCACTTAAAATTGCGGAATCCGCTTACATTTGCGGAATCCGGAATAACGACATATTTTCGCTCGTTTCGGAATCCGCGGCAACAAAACTAATGTGCTGACAAAACTTACGTTACATGTATTTGTACGCGGAATCCACAATTTTTTTTAAAGTGAAATCCACTTACATTTTGGAACATATCTAAAGACTTGTCTCTGGAATCCAGGAACATTCAGACACATAATTGTGCGCCTATCCAGTGCACAGTTTGGTCTCGAAATGAAATGTGAAACGAAGCAAAATTTCTCCATTCAAGTTATCAGCCCCTATATTAAATTCTTTCGTTCTTTCTTTCTAGAATCTTACCTTGCTTTCGTTGTTGAATAACCCGAGAGGAGCCAAGTGCTGCAGCCACTTGACAACTTCTCTCAATATTGCATCCATGTACTCATTCTTGTAGGTCTCTGCTGTCACATCATCTGGCATAGTCTGTTTTGCATCTGCATCTGCAGTGGCTTCATTTTCATTCATTCCTATTTGAGATGAATTTTTAGATTTTTTCGATTTTGGATGCAATAAAGAAACACTAATCGAAATTCTCAGTTTCAAATTTTTTTTTGCGAGCTGTGGGCCTAACTAATCTTCTTCCAATCCAAAAAAAAACTTAAATATTTCCTTTATGGAAATAGTCTCACAACCTCCCTGGAAGAACATGAATGTACTCATGTGTTTTCACGAATGCAAAATTATTTCTCTTATTTTATTCAGTGAACCTGTTTTGTGCGATTGAATTTGCGGCTGATCTGATTCCTTTGGGAACTCAGAGCCAAGGCTCTGATTGGGGACAGCATTGTAGCTAATGCCACTTGAGTTGTTCATCAGAAGGAGGGTGTTTCTGTGGGCCATCATTGAAGCCTCTCGTGAACAAAAGTTGATTGGCAGTAAGTTTGGCACCACACCCATGCTGAAGTTGAAAGGTGGAGGCTAAAGTATATACCAAATAGAGAATAGTTTGCTTCTGCTATAGAGAATTGTTATAGAAAGCTCGACAAAAAAAGTAGTCCTACTCTGAAACCTTACATATTTAACGTCAAACTTTTGGCAATACCCTTTTCGGTCAACGAAGCTGAACGAAGTGGTTTAATCTACAACTGCTCTTCTGACATCTGTATCAATTATTTTCTCATTTCAGCTCGCAAAAAGTTTGTCAAAAAGTCTATTTAACCTAATACGTACTTTTCTGACCAATTAAGTTGGTCAATCTCGCCGATGTTACCAAAAACTTAGCCTTAACTATGGAGTCGAGTTACTACACGCTGCACAATTTTTCTCAAGTTGTGCTGTCGTTTTTGAGCTTACCCAACTGAAATTGAGCTTACCCAAGAGACTGGAGTCATTGCCAATGGATTTTGGCTGACTCGGTTCATGGCCCTGGGTGCTGAATCATTGGAGGGGCCGCGTGTCATCACTATGGGGGCTGCCTGGATTCTCGTAGCTCCTCCTCGGTATTTGTTCACGCTGAGAGATTTAGCAGCCGACTGAGACACGAACACGTTTGCTCGAGGCTGCCGCTCATTTTGCACAGCTGAAATGTTGGTGAAAACTCGGTCAATAAGCAACTCCAGTCTATCTAATCAAGTTAACGAACATAGAGACAATTGTTCGAAATTCCGTACTACTTATTGTGTTCTTCTAATTTTTGACAAATATCAGTTAACTCTTCCAAAAAGTAAAGGATTTGAAACGAAGAAGCTACCATATAGCAACGTTGCATTTCAAAAAAAAGCGGTTCCTAATAAGACACGAATAAGGTATTAACTCTTTTGCAAGTAGTGTATCTCACCGTCCCTGTTCATGCCTTTGAGGTGGCACTTGGAGAGTCTGCATGCCTGGCACTGGTTCCGATGGACTTTGTCAATAACACATGCATTGCCCCCATTCTGACACCTACAACATAACATAACATATCACAAATAATTTAAAGAATCATTATTCGATGCTGGCAGAATTAAGATTTTTAGGAGGTAGCTAAATGGACGAATACCCCTGGAAGCTCAACACCCTCATTACGAGGCCAAACTGTGCATTGTTAGCGGATTCCGCAACAGGCCAAAATCAGATTTGTCGAGGAATCTGATTGTTCCGACAAAACTTACGTTACAGGTTTTTGTACGCGGAGTCCACGGAAGTTTTGTAAGTGTATTTCACTTACATTTTGGAACATGTTTAAAGGTTTATCTATGGAATCCAGGAACATAAAGACACAAAACTGTGAGCCTATCCAGTGCACAGTTTGGCCTTGTAATGTTCCAGAAAGTATCAAAGATTTCGACCTCCTCACCACCCAAAGAGGCCTCTATGCTTTTAATTATTAGCCATTTTTATTCGATCAACCTTTAGATTTTCTTGAATGCACCCGGGTTGAGAAAAATTGCATTTTATTGATCAAACCTTCCAAAAAGTGCCAAAATGTCATTTTGATTCAATATTGCAAAATGGTCCAATCTTTTTTGCGTGCAAAACGGTTTGCCTAAAATTTCCTCATTTTAGAGGTTCGTATCATGACTAGCAATTTTAAATTTTTCTGAACAGCCGCTCCAACCTTGGAACCACATCCGCTCAAGTAACGAAAAAATTGTAACTTGAACTGACAATTTTTAAAACTTGATATTAGAATTTAGTTCCAACTCATAAATCATCAGTTTGATTTGTGATAGGTTTTCTATCGATAGTATAGTAGAAACTCTATTTACCTGTAGTTCAAGTTCCTCCTCACACTGCGCTTGAAGAATCCACTGCAGCCATTACATGCATAGATGCCATAGTGCTTACCACTGGACACATCCCCACACACCACACAAGTGACGTCACTCAGACAAGACCCCTCAACTGCTACAGATCCCAACACTCCCCCTCCCCCTCCCCCACCAGCACCGCCGACACCCGCGACTGAACCCCCTGCAGACAGCATAAGGGGGGACTCGTCTGGTTGGAACAACTGGCTAGAAGAGTTGGAAGAGGGAGGAGGGGGGAGGAAAGATCCAGTGAAATCCATTATTTTTTAAGGTTACTTATAATAAAAAGTAGGTTTAAAATTATCAGTCGTTTATTGTAAGATTTGGTGCTCTCGAGTTTTACGAAAAAAAAAGAAGAAACGCTTACAAATATTTATTGTTTGCCTAAAATCAGTAATTTTCGAATAGTTTGACGTTACTTTTGAATCACTTAGAATATTTATCGAATATTGCTTTGCTGTTTTCAAAACTGCTGCAAGTAATCACACATAATCCCCTGATTGACTTTCAAATTTTAGCGGCTGCCAAATTAAAACAGAAATTCCTGAGCTGCTCTGGTTAAGCGGGCTTAGAAATAGGAAAAATTATTTGGGAAAAATTAAAATTTAACTCAATTTATTCAAATCCCTGATAGAAAGGAAATAGTAACAACTTTCAATTAAGTCTTGCGATGATTAAACACCTTTTAATGCCGGATAATGTCAAGCAACGCATAATTAACTGACTACAATTTGACATTATGGCAATTGAATTTTGAATGGAAGGAAGAACAAGGCTTCTAATGGGTTCTGATTTGATTATACACTTCAACTATGCTATTCTGAAAAGTTAATAAACATTATGCGGGTTGGGCTCGGATGGGTCGATGTTTTTTTTGGCAATTCAGTTGAACTCAGTTTCAAAGTCCTCCGTAAGCTCTTAAAATTACTTGAAGTTGCTAGAAAACTTTGGGTCGCAGAGCAAAGTTGGGTTGCAGAAAATTCTTCGATTGCAGAATAGTTTTGAGTTGCATAAAAGTTGTGAGTTACAGAAAACAACGAGCTTTGTTTCAGAAGAAATCGAAATCAGCCTTGAAAAAATTAAACAAACAAATAAGTAACTGATGCGAGAACTAAAAATCATTACAACTCAAAGTTCCTGTTTCGATTTGAGCCAAAGTAAATTGTGCTTTGCCTTCATCAAGTTTACAAATGATTACCAGATTTAGCAGAACAGTTCTTGGTTGCCATTTTAGTCAATGGAGTTGTGGGAGAAGTTGTTCCACAAGATTTCATTAGATCTCATTTTTTTTCTGAACAACCTAAATTTTTTAAAATTCTATTTACATAAGATACATTTAAAATGATTTCTTTTGTTCGAAATTGCAATAAAATGTATCATCATGAAAAAGTGAACAGATTCGTATAACAATTCTTTCACGCAAAATTTTGCCTGAAAATATTTTCAAAACCACGCAGTTATAATTTCACAAGTGGATGCCCCCCCCCCCTCCCCCCCCCCCCACATTGATTACCTCATTACGAGCTCGTAAGTGGTCAAATTTGTTATCAACTGATCGTGTTTGCGTTTCTAAAAACAACCTAAAGGTTCTCTCAGTGTCGAGAAGAAAATGATCTATTTTTTTTCCGATCGTGGATATTCAGACTGAATCTTCGATTTTCAGACAAAATTAATTTTACCTACAACTTTTGCCTATTTAAATTAATTGTTGGCAAATTTTTCATATTCTTGATCGCTTTTTTTTCAGATAAATGGACAGTGAAATAACAATAATTAAAATTTTCTTTTTTCTTCAATTGTGATTTTTTATTCATTCATTTAAATTTCTTTCTATTATCTCAGCTACCTACACAAAAATCGGCTGTTTTTGTTTCATTTATGAATTTTGCTCTAAAAATGAAAGTGAAAATGTCAAGGCTCTAAGTTCATAATTGATACAGACAAAAACAGCCGATTTCTGTGCAAGTACCTGTGATAAAGTTCAAATACAGATAAAAAATCACAACTAACAAAAAAATGAAATCTGTATTTTTAGCCTACCGTTCATATCTTGGCAGTTCTTCTAAAAAATATATATCTATCATTTTTGACACTGAGAAACTTTTAGATGCTTGTGGCATAAAAATGACAAACCAAAAATTTCAATTCGATCGATCGATTGGACTGAAAACAGAACAATTTTCAGCTGAGATCTTTCGTTTATTGCTCAAAAGTTGATCAAGAGAAAACTAAAACTACATAATTAAAAAATAAAACCATAAAAGCTACGCTCTAAATTAAAAATTACCAAACCCGTTCTAGTTTTCTAAAAATTGAAAAAAAATCAAAAATCAGTTTTTTAAACTCGTATTTTCAATGATACGGGTTTTTATCTGCTCACTAGTTTTTCATCATGAGCAGTTTTGCGTTGTTTAGAAGGGAAATTGGAATTTAACACATAGGAGAGACATAAAACTCAAAGCTCAAAAAAACATTTCCTCATTTCTCTTGTATTGTGAAAATTATTTTACAGCAGCAAAAAATTATCGACCATGAATCATCACAACTGCCATTGAGAAAAAAATCGAGTGTTCTTTTTTATTTTTGCGCAGCTTTGTTTTTTGGTACTTATTTTGATTTTCATTTTCCAGGAGCAAATTTAAGATATATGCTACGCTATTTAAATTGCAAACTGCAAATAAGTAAACACAAAATTTGTTGAAACTGCTATTCTACTAAAATACAGATCAGGTGGTTATATTGCGGCCAGTGAGTTTGGTTAACAATTTTTCGATTGATTAGTTCGCTTTGCTCAAACAATGGCGTTAGTTTTGCAAAGTTGATAAGTAAACATAAAATGCGCATAGGTTGTTCTTGCATCTCAAAATTGACTACAAACAAGATTTTAATTTTGCAAAAAACTGCAGGTATTTTTTTTATTCTGAGGAAAAAAAAATTCAGAGGAAACATCAGTTTTATAGAAAACATTATCATCTAAAAATTTTTTGTTTTTGTCGAGAAGAGAAAAATATCCTAGCATAGGCACTCTATTTTTCTCCTTAAAAAAAACTGGGTCAAAAAAGGCAATTTAATTTCTTTGAAAATCGATTTTTTCTAAATTAATTTTCTAGAAAAATTGTAATTTTATACTTGATACCGAAACAATAAAACTAAAATAAGTTTTTGGAAATTTTGGCTATCTATCTTAATTTGACATACCAACCAATAATGGGTTGTAAAATGGACTCAAAATTAACAAAGACAATCCAGTTTCACTCCAAACTCAAAAAATATTTTTCAGATAGTAATTTAAAAGCAATATGAGCGGAATGTTTCTATTCTGAGTGCAAACATGCAAATATCTGATTTTTCAAACATTCCGCTCATATCACTTTTAAATTACTTTCGGTATCAAGTATAAAGTTACAAATGTTCTAGAAAACCTCCGCTATGTCAAATATCCGACCCCGCTTTGTCAAATATCCGACCCCATTTAAAAATCATGTAAAATTATGATGTTAAATTTAAAAAAAAACTAGATAAACTAGTTCAATTATCCAACTCCAATTTAACCGACTCTTGATTTAAAGTCTTAGGTGGGCAGGCGTCGCTACTTTGCGGTGACAACTGGATCTATTTTTCATATAAACTCATACCCTTTGTTGGCAAGCTCGCAACACGTTTTTTCGACAACCATAGCATCTATAAAAAAGTAAAAAAAAAATCGGATCTTTGCTCTACTTTTTGAAAATTTTTGGATGTTTGCCCAGGTAAAGCTTTTTTTTTATTGGCTGTCTGCAACACAATTTGGTTTTTCTCATTTTGACAAAATGGATGTTTACACGGAATGGAACCCTTCTATTCTACATTCCCGACTTAATTGGATGAAGTTCACTGCTAGTGCTGGTTTCTATTTGCTGAGCGTAATTAATTTGCTAGCTCAGCGCAAAATAAATAGAATAATATTAATTGGATCCATTAAAAGGTATCAGGCCTGTCTAAGCATATATCATTGGTATTTTCCCAGTTTCAAGATTCATGTTGTTGAGCGAATCTCTTCTTTTCGACTCGAGGCCATTTTTCTACGTCTGGAAATTTTACGTGGTACCACTATTGCAGCCGAAATCAGACAAGCTGTGGTAGACCTGAAGCTGGAGATCAAGTGATCGATTGCACGACTGACGATCTTAAAGTTAACGCCTTACCGCAATGCTTGTTATAATGGCTATTCGTTAGCGACAGAGGAATTTTTCAAACACCTCAATTTTAATTTAAAAATGATAGCAGATAAACACCGTTTTATTTAAGACTTTGGTGTTTTTTCAGATTTTCAGATTGTTTTAACTTCTTAGAATACTAGTGCTCTGATTAAAATTACGATCTTTTCATTTAAAATTTTCCGGACAATTTTCATTGCCAATTTATATATTTTTCATGGATCATTCAACATTCAACTGTGCTAAGGCTCGCAAAACTAAACAGTTGGAGTGAATAAGTGATTTATCACAAATTTTATTGCCAATTTGCAAATTTTATTGCCACATTTTATTGATCAATGCAATCTAGAACATGGTATGTAATTATCTCGAAGCAAGTCCCGAGTGAACTCCATCACAAAATTTATCGCCTTTTTTCTGAATGCAGTTCACTCGGGACTTGCTTCGAGATAATTACTTACCATGCTCTAGATTGCATTGATCAATTTATGAGTGTGCATCATTATTATTAGAGATCTAGGCTATGGAGATTCCGTTTACTTGTGAAAAAATTGTACGAGCCACCTTGATCACTTATTGTGAAAGCGTTCTAATGACATGTGATTTTGTTTATTTAGGTTGCTATTTTAATTGATATTTTTCGGGTGGATCACAATATTTTGAATAATTTACGTTGCAAACAGTTTTTTGCCGTATAAAGAGGAAAAAATGCACAGTTTTTTGGAGAAATGACATAAAAATATCTCTAAAACTGTTTAAAAAATTGAAGCGGTAATATTGTTCAAATATTTTTATAAAGAAACTCTCGTCAGAGACTAGAAGCGGTCCGACCACATTCATTAAAAAGCTAAGCAAACAAAACACTTCCATTTTTCCAAGTTGTGTCGTTTTTTGTGCGATGAGAGAAACAAGACAAAAATTCTTGCTTTAGCCCAAATTTTTTTTTTTTTTTGAAAAAAAAAGATTTTTTTTTAGCCAAGAAAGTGCTAAATGAGGAGTCAAAAATGATTTTTTTTGGTGGTAATTTAAGCGTTTCATACTTAAAGACGCTTTGGCCTATCAGAAAAAAATATCCTCTCGCTTGCTTTACTCGCTCAAAATTAGACTGAAAAGCGAAAATTTCGAATCACGAGTGAAAGGGCTGTATTACAAATTATCAGTCGACCATGCGCTTTGACCATGCTCTAAAGGTTGAACAATTGAAGTGAGCAATTGATTGAACATATGTTTTTACAGCATACACGTTTAATTTTGATCTGTACAAATTATGGTACAATGGTGTAAAGTAAAAAAATACTACAATTAAAAAAGCCGCAAACTCTGCCAAGCTTGTTAAATTTCACAGTTAAACAATGGAGTCAACTACTTTATGACAACTCGGCAACAAAACAAACAAGTCGCAAAGACGTAGATATAATTTGAAATGACAGTAAAGATAGCAAAAGAGCAGTAAAAGTATTATTACGAGGACTCCGCGCTTACGTTCAAATTTGTCACCTGTTGTCAAAAATCACAAAAATCACGAAAATAGAGAAAATTGTATTTTTTAAAAACCAGCCGAAGATTTATTCGAAAAGCAACCATCTGTCCAAGAGTACTTTTGAGGTTTTGATATGTAAAATTAAAAAATAAATTGCAGTGACTTGATTGTACTTGTTTAAGAGCGAAACAGTGAAAAAAAAATGTTTTTACAGATAATCAACTGAGCACGCATTCAGTATTCAACCAATTAACATCACTGATTGTATTTAATCCTTATTTTATCTTGACTTTAAAGAACGATTTACTTCAGTTTTCTCCAAATTTCTATTAACTACCACCCTTTTCCTAATTATTGTGTCGATCTCTTTTTCTTTTATCCATTTTGGCAGAAGAGTTGCAAAGAGCAATACTATTTTGGACAAAAACATTTGGAATTGCTGCTTTTCTGTAGCTGCTTTTGATTCGCATCCCTTCAATTTTTTTTATTGTAAAAAACTGAAAAGTTAGCAGGTTTTACTGTCATTTCCGTTTACGTAGTCTTGAAGAAGAAGGACCAAATTAGCTGGTCTTAAAGCATTTTGCCAGTAAAAAGAAGAATCATTCAACCATGCCGGGAGTGAGTGAGAAGACAGCTCTGGATGTAATGAAGAAGGCGATGCAGAGTGACTCGAAGACAGACCAGAAGAACAAACAGTCCCAGGTCATGCTCAGAGACAAGCACGGCAAAGTGGACAGGGACAACCTAGTCTACCAGCAGCTGTACCTCAAAGGTCAGTCAAGCAACACAAGCAATGACCTCGCGGCTCTGGTCAGTCAATTACCCTGGGTTGATCTCCACAGAAAAAATGCTTCTCATACAATTCCATGCTTTTAATCTATGAAAAAAAACTCTTACATTTTAATTTTTTTTCCAGTACCAGTATTAGTTTTTCAGAACCAGGGTTAAACATGTTTTTATTTTGTAGTTTTGACAAAATATCGATATATAATTTTGAAACAGAGGAAGAAGTTTGCGAAAAAATGTCTAATAATACAGTTTCTATACTATATTAAAAACAGCCAGTTGTTGTGCAAAAGGCACTGCATGTTCCGACCATATTCATTAAAAAAAACAGACATTATTTTATATTTTTTCTTATATTAGCGTAGTGATTTGAGAACTACAAAGTTGCGCAAAATTAATAATCGACAACATATGTCTCCAAATAATGAAAAAAAAACGAAAAAAAAAATTTTTTTTGTTGTCAAATAAGCGCTAAATGAAACATCCAAAACTAAATTTCCTCATAGTAAAATCAAGTTTTTAACTCTAAGAGTCTTAAAAGTAAATTTCCATATAACGAGCGTTACTCTATCGATTGCGTTATTTGCTTGAAATTAGATCTCAAAAACTTCAAACTAGTTTTCTCGACACTGGGACAATTTTTTGAACAATTTTAAATGTCATCTGAATTACTACTAAAAGAGATTTATTATGATATATCAGTTAAATTTTTCCGATGATTATTTCTGGTTACTAATTTTGCGTGGAAAAAAATTTAAAAAAATAAAAACGGCTCTTTTCCAGTCCCCCCCCCTTTCAAAATACCGAGTTTTATCTCTGTTTTACGTGTTATTACGGCTAAATGCGTAATGTTACGCTGTAATGTATGAAGAACAAATCTGTTCAGAATTGTCGATTTGTTCACCACGCCAAATTTCATTGCATTATGACATCGTTAAATAGACTTTTCAAATTTGAATTTGAAAGGGGGGGAAACTGGAAAAGAGCCATAAAAACAACCGATAACGAAATTCCTCCCCATTTTCAATGATCGGAACAAATTTATTTGACTAGTTTTTTTCTGAATAGAAATTTTTGTTGACAAAAAAATTTTCTGAAATAAACTTTCAAACTTACCCAAAAACAAATATTATTCATGTTTTGAAGCGCAAAACGAATTTTGCAATCAAACCATTTAAACCATTTTTGAAAAATTTTATCTACTTTTAGGTCAGACCCAAACCCCAACCCAAATGGGGGGAATTCACTTGGCCACTTTTTTGGTATGAAAATTTGTTTTTGAATGCTTTTTAGCTGGTTTGAACCAAAATCAAACCAGCTTTCAAACTTACCCAAAAACAAATATTATTCATGTTTTGAAGCGCAAAACGAATTTGCAATCAAACCATTTAAACCATTTTTGAAAAATTTTATCTACTTTTAGGTCAGACCCAAACCCCAGCCCAAATGGGGGGAATTCACTTGGCCACTTTTTTGGTATGAAAATTTGTTTTTGAATGCTTTTTAGCTGGTTTGAACCAAAATCACGTTTAAGGCGCACGCTCCCTCCTCAAAATTAGTACCCATAGCCAAAAGCGCCTTCAGAACAGTTTTAGAAATCTTCGGTAAAAAATATCTATTGTAAATTACTACCTTTGATAAAACACGGCAATCAGGGCTGAGAAGTTTTCTTGGTACGCTACTAATTCAAGCAAACATTTTTTATCGTGTTCTTTTTTCTGGACGAAAATTTTTATTGAGCGTCGATTATGCAATTATTATTAATTTCCGAATAACATTTGTGAAAAATCCCGGAAGACCTATTTGTTGTTTTTGCATGTTTTGAAGTGATTTTGGCAGAAATATTTTGAACACAGTTTTCAAAGCAAGATAAAAATTTGTCAACTTCAATTTTGTTTAACTTCAGTTTTTTCATTTCCATTATAGTCGGCTTGAAAGATTTCAAATTGAGTAACATTTGACTCGACGGGCGCCTGCCGAAAAAATAATTACGGTTTTTATATTTTGTTTTGACGCTAGTTTACTGCTAGTTAGGGCCTTACATAGCGTGTTTTCCGCAAAAAGGATATCAGTCAAGACAATTGAAGAGAAATGTATTAACTGTTTGTATATCAAGTTTTTTCGACATTGAAAAAAAATCGCTCTCCCAGCTTTGGTCTCATTTCATGTCGGCTAATTTGCCAGGTTATTTTGTGTTGTATCATATGTGGCCCGACGCGAGACTCGGAAAAAGATATTCAGCGTCTGAGCATTCACAACAGATGCATTAAAACTTTTTTCATGAATATAAAAACAATTATAGAATTGGTTCAGAGTGAGAATGTTGCAAAAATGGTAAAGTCAGCAATATACTGAAAAAATTAAGGCACAAAACGCGTTTATTTACTATAAAGACCTCATTTTGACAAAATCTTTATTACAGCTGGCAAATTTGGAAAAAACGGCCAAACAAGCCAAATGCCAAAATTTCTAAAATTTGTCGTTTTTTTTGGGGCGCGCTCCCCTTCAAAGTAGTGTATATTGGCGAAAACGTTTTAAAAGTAGACAAATAAATTTAGACAATGGAAAGTGGATGATATAAAAATACCAAAGTTAGGACCCTTTGTTTGGTGAGGTGGTCGAATCCCTGATGGGCAGAGGGAGAGTGGCGTCCGCTCCCCTTCCCTCCTATATCGCCCCTGTTCTTGAATATGATTAAAAACTCGTAGACTTTTCTAAATCTTAGCGTAGTGGCTTTAGCATAGTGGTAAGACGTTCACTATTGTGAAATCAATCCCCTGCCATGGCAATGGTAGCGTGCGAGGACGATATCTCACTTGACTTCTAGCTTCAGGACTACCACAACCTGGCCGAATACGACTGCACTATAGTACCACGTGAAAGTTCAAGACGCAAAAAACAGCCGCGACTCGCAAAATACCTCAATCTTGAATGTGGGGAAATAAGAAAAACGGAATATGCTTAGACAGGCTGGATAGCTTTTAATTGATCCTCTCCGAATGGCAGAAACCACAATTACTATTATGATTACTATTTTAATATATGCTGTTTGCTATCATTGGTAAGTCATGTGGACATTTTGAATTCTCCAGTTCCAAACTTTTTTTGGCGCGAATCAACTTGCTAGAAAGTTGAAAAAACCTTGACTTTCTTGAATTAGGTGAATATCTCAAATATTTTTGGTTTTTATTGTAAATTAGTCCAAGACGCGCCAATTTCTTTTGAAAGACTTAACATTATTGCACAATCATTTTGCAATTCGAAGTTTAGCTGAATGGTTTGAATCGATTCTCCTGATCTGGTCGATCTGATTTGAGCCAAGCAAAAAAAACACTTGAATTCAAATACTTTCTCAATTTGTAAACTGAAACATTATGTAGAAAAAGGAATATTATTGGGAAACACTTTTTGTACTAACCGAAGCCAGCCTTTTTTACTGTAAAAGTTCCACGAGTTTCAAAGATACCTTCTTTGAAAAATGTTTTTCTTGTAGTTGATTTAGTCTAATTTTTAGTGAGTTTTGAAGGTTCTTCCGGAGAGGTATGGACATAATTCAAAAAGAGATAAAATTGTCCTCTTACGCCATATTTGAAAAAAAAGCCAAGTTTAATTAAATGATACTGAACCATACAGCTAACCTTTTGGCTACTTATTCAGGTTGAATTGAGGAAACATAATTCCGTATTTTCTCACGTGTTTTCATCAGAAGACGCTATCTGAATAAAAAAGACACCTGCAATTGGCTAATTCGTAGCATTAAAGCGCAAAAACACAAACAAAACAAATGCCGTTGATGTAAAATATGGGATCTGGCTTAAAACAAGATTCAATAGAAGCATTTTTTGAGAGTTGTCTTCTGAAAATTTTGATTGAATTGCAAAATTTGAACACTTTTTCAATCCTTATAATTGGTTTGAGCCAACATGGGGAACTCAAAACAGAAAGAATTGTTTCTAAAATTACCAATTTCTGCAGAACTAACAAAAAAGATGCTGATATCATCATCGGAGACACAAATACAGATATTACACATCTTGCCTTAAAGTTGAACGCCCAAGTTACCGATTCAATTTCCGATGATATTTCATTGAGCACTGAAGTTGAAGAAACAACGCCTCAAAAAGTTCGAGTTACGGGCATTTACGGCGACTACTTTTCCTTCGAATCAACTTACTATTGGCGCAAGTACGACTTGATTATATCAGCAAACACTGCTCAAAAACTACCCATGCGGGAAAAACTCTACCGGGGCATCTATCCGACTGAATTTGAAGCCGACGATGATTTGGTTTTAACATCAGAGCGATCGAATCGTTTTTTGGGACAGATTCTCAAAAATGCGATCAAGTGTTTAGAGCCTAAACACGGACGATCGTTGATATTGTTTCCAATTTTTGACTATGAGAGAACGAAGAACACTTTGATCTATAATTTAGTCAACGAAGCTTTTCTGCAAACTGTACAAGCTTTAGATATTTCTGTCCAAAATGCGATGAAACTAACTAGTCCAGTCATGGTATTCAAAGCCGAAAACATTCCAAACCGAATCAAAAGATTCGTAGAATCTTTCGGCGACGAGCGATTGAAGTCCAAAAGTGAAATAACTTCCTTTTCGTGTCCATACTACAGAAAATACATCTCGACTGTTCAAACGTTTGAAGACAAACAAAAATATACGAACAAACTGATCGACCGTTATTTCTCGCTTAGTCAAGAGGACATTCTGAAAAACCCGGATTTGCCGGAAGCGTTGAAAAAGAATCTGATAGTGGAAACGAGGTCAACGTTGAGAGGTCTTCTGATGGACCAATTGATGAAAGGAACCAATGATTATAAATTGCAGATTAAAAGAGAGTATTTGGTAGTAACTGTCCAATAAGGACTGATGATGTTGTAATAAGAATTGATTAATTTACTGATTAGTAACCGAGTTGAACAGAAATCAATTTGACAAAATTCATTTTCTTTGAAACAGATAGATCCTGAGAAGAATTAATGAAAAATTAATTGAACATAAATAAAATTTAACACTAATCGTTTTCTAACAAACAAAATTGAACAAAACATTCTGAAGAAAAGCATACACTCTTTTTTCCGTTTACAAAAGAACATTTTCTATCAAATAGTCCAATTTTTATGCAATTTTCACCTGCACCAATAAATTTGGAGGGGGCTGGGGATCTAAAAGATTGAGTTTGGACTGAAATGTCATTGTATAGATTATAAAAAAATGAATCCAGAATTAATGATACTCACTATTAATGTTTTAGAGCGGGCCAAGTGTTTGCAAGACGTGCGCAAATGTGAGATAGAACTGAACTTCCTCCGAGACAACATGGCCAAACAGGGGGGTCCTGATCCAGACAGGGGGTACCTGGGTGCCGGAGGGGGTCCTGGGAGGATAGCCGAAAGAAAGAGTCCAGTTCAGATTTCGAACGAGGTTTTCAGCAGTGCCATGAACAAAGGAAAACAGGCGTCAATTAGATTTGAGGCTCTCTTTTTTTTTACTACATTTGAAGCATCATTTTACACACTAGACACGATAATAATAGTAAACTCCCTCTTGATGATGGAAAAAAATACGGTAATTTCTTAAATTTCCATTCAAGATAGAAGTGTTTTATTGGCTCTCAAGCAATTGACGAATGAGCCTGAAGTTTAATTGATGCTCCTGTTCGAATGAAGGAAGGAAGGCGAGTTGGGCTAGTAATGACGATGAGGGTGAGGAGGGGGATAGGGAGAGATTGAAAGAACAGCTGAAGTCTGCACACGTGAGGCGCATGCAGCTACTTCAGAAAGAACACGACAAACAAGTTTACAAACGGGTTTGTTTTTCCACTATTCTTGAAGTTATGTAATCGAAAGTCAGACTAAAATTTAAATAAACAAATAAAAAGAACTAGCTTGATTTTTTTTACCGAGAATACCTTCTGTCACACTACTTTTTGTAAATTCTCATCGTGTAAGTTTTCTTGAAATAATTTTATCGACAGCATAACAAATCAGTTTCTGCTTGCAGCTGGTCAGATTTGCAGAGACATTAGGTGGCGAAGATTCCCGGATGAAGAAGAAAAAGTCTATCCAGGAGAGATGGGCGGAACAATTCCACGGAACAACGCAAGAATAGAACACAACACAAAAGTTCTCAGTTTCATGAACATAGCAGTCCCCTATTTGTAAATTTGTTTTAAGTGGATAAAAATTTAAAAAAAAACGCTTAGATTAGTAATTTTTTGACTCAAAACTGTTTGCCACTAGGAACAAAATACTTGCCGCTTCTCAGGAATTCGAACCCCTGCCAACCCAAAGGTTCCCCCCTTTGGTACTTTTTAAGAAATCCATTTTTGGCCGACCGACCCTAAAATTTTTCTAAAGGCGCCTTTGGCGCCAATATATACTAATTTTGAGGGGGAGCGCGCGCCAAAAAAAAACGCGTTTTTTTTGTCAAATTTTTCCAAAAAGTGCCCAAAAACGGCTTTTTTGACCTGTTTTTTCAAAAAATTGCCTGCGGCGCAGAAAATTTGGCCAAAACAGGGTCTTTTTACTGCTTTGGGAGAGCTCGGAAAATCAATCTGATCGACCTAAAAAAAAAAAAAAAGGTCGTCAAAATTTTTGAAAATTTTTTGAAAATCCGCCCCCCCCTCAAGAAAATCCTAGATCCGCCCCTGGCTTCTACGTTAAATTCTTTGAGATCAATCGATCAATAGTAGGTTTGGAGAGGCCAATGTTTTCTCCCCTCTCTAATCCCTTCAGAAATTCAAAAAAAGGTCATTTTGTTATTTATAGAACGAATTAAAAACTTTTAATAGCCTGTTTTGCTATTTTTAAAATTGAGTAGAAACAGCATAAATATTACAATAGTTATAGGAATTCCTGCGAGTAGCCTAGCTTTATTAAAGGCTTACAGATTACAGAGTAGTCTAGGCTTACACATTAAGTCAAATTTTTAGCGTAAAATCAGACAACGACCCAAGCCCTATAGTCTGGATTTTCCGAATTTGACAAAATTTCGTTCAATATTGCGGGACTAATTCACATTAAATTTTGGGCAATTTAAATGTTGAACCATTAATAACAACAAGTGTTGAGGATAACAAAAATTTTTCATTCGTCAGACAATTTCAATGACAGTTGCTCAGATTTTTCAGAAAACTTTTTAAGCAGTTTAGCAAATCGGTTGGTTCAATTATTCTCTCTTAAATATTGCAAACATGGGTTTATTTTATTAACTTCATTTTTTGCAATTTTCAATTTTTTTTTTTAACCACAAACTAACAATCAGAATTTAGATAAAAATTGAAAAAAATAACATATATTAAACTCTAAACTTGCGTAATTTTTGAGCAAGCCAGATAATAGTGTTTGCGCTCTAAATTGGTCTTATAAACTGCAAATTTCAAGACCAATGAAGGCTTCATTATGATAAAAGGATTGCCAAACAAAAACATTTTCTATTTACATTTGAAAAGAGCAATCTATCTTACACTATATATTTTTTGTGACTTGGTCTGAACAGGATGAATGATTTTTGCTGTTGTGAATAACTGTTGTTTAATTTAAGAGGCAATGAAGAAGAACTTAATTAGACAATAACCAGCCGGATTGATAAAAATTTAGTTGGAATGAATCAAAATTTACAAAGATCTAACAATCAAGGCTTTCCCTGAAAGTGAATTGACGAAGTTCAATTCGTTTTTAAGTTTGTTTGGCCTAAAGTATAATTAAAAGCGACAGCCGATATAAATTAAAATTATTCTAAGCTACTCAGCTCAGACATCCTCAGTGATTGTTGAATTACAGGGTGTTTCATATAAACTGTTTAACTATAGTTTGTCATTTCATAACTATTTGATCTGCTTGACTTCAAGTTTGGAGAAAATGTGCAAGACTGACGAAAATTTAATTTTATTTAAAAATTACATTGGTTAGATCAAAAAAATAAACAATACCTGCATTTTCCCAAGTGTTTCATTTTTTGAAGCTACAACCAATTCTTTTAAATATTTGTTCATAGGTGAACGAAAACAACAAAATAGTTCTCACATTGGAAGAAGAAAAACAAATCATTTGTTTTTTTTTCGCAATTTATCAAAACCCAACTGCAGTCCGAGGCGTGTTCTAAATTGGTTGAAGACCAAATTTAAAGCAGAAGTATAAGTCAGCAAAGCTCTATACTCTGGGTATCCTAGAACCCGGTTTTGAACCTCCTCAATTTTTGAATGTGGGTTTACTTTGGGAAAATCGTACATCTTTCTAACCCACGAAGTTATCAGGAACTCATTCAAACAGTCGAAGATGCTAGCAATACAATAAGGGCCCAGAATTAGGAAGATTCTTTGAAAAAGATTCAGTGAAGATAACATCGAACAATTTCTATTGATTCAATGAAGATTCAGTTTTGTGAAGATTCTTCACAAAAAAGATTCATTGTGAAGAGAAGGTTACTGGTCTGTGTGACTTGAAACTTGTCTGATTAATTATTCATTTCCAAAAACAATTTTATAAAACAATTTCAGCAGCTATTAAAGTTTGCAGCATTTTTTTCTTTTGCAATAAATTGACTTTTTATCTTCTCTCAAAAAAGTTATAGCGTTTTTTTTAAAAACAGTTTATCTGAAACACCCAGTACAAAATGTTAGCTCAGTGAAAAATTTTAAAAAGAAGCCAATGGGACAAAATGGAAAAAAAGCATATGCAAGTACTCGGCTTCCGTGCAAATCACATTTTTTTTAAACCTAAGACACGTTTGATTTTGTTTGTTTGACCCATGTGAACAATCTCTTTCTCTCATACCACACCTCTTTTAAACTAGAAGAACTATCTGACCCTAAATTCTGGAAATTGTTTTTGCAAATGAAAAAATATTTTGTTCTAATTTAAAGGTAAAGTTATTCTGTAAAACAATAAATCAAACAATTTCTATTAGACGGAAAAAATGTCGAAAATTTTTACTAACATTATGAAAGGGCTGATACGCGAAACTATTATCGGAGCAAGTACGAAAATTCTAATTTCATTTAATTTCCCGATTATAGCGGCTGAGTGAAAAAATACTGCAAGAACTATTTGTTTCGGATTGGCTGAAAATTAATTTTTTTTAATTGTGATCAAGTGCACTTGGTCCGATAATTTTGACAAATGACCAAAAATTATCAAAATTGTTTGCTCATAGCCAAATTATTTCATAGGAAAAAAACATAGCAAACTGACAGTTGGAAAAGAGTCAAGGAACGCGAAGAAACAGAAAAAATTCACTTGTTTTTTAAAAAAATCAACTTTTGAAGTTCAAAAAAACTAGATGTACTAACAGCTCTTTGAATTTTATGAGCAGTTTATGATATAGCTTTTTGATAAAATTAACCCAAATTATCCGAAAAAACATGAACTGAGAAAAAAATATCTAAATTCGAACGGCAATAATTAACTTTAAGCTTGAACTCTTGAAAAAAATCACGACCAATTTAAGAATCTGAACTACAATCATCGACTCTTAAGCATTTGTTGACAACAATGCGAGCCAAAAATGAAACAAGGCGAGCCCAATACTTGTACAATTAGCACAGAATGTTTCGACCACAATGATTTGCGTAATGATAGTTCAAAGGAAGAAAATTGTCCCATATTTAGATAGTTTTTTTTAGGAACAAATCAACAATGACAATCGATCAAAGCAAAACTTTCACATTGATTGTTGTATCAGTAACTTGGTGGCTTAGTCGTTCACCCAAGTAAAGAGTAATTCAGTCTAAGCACAGAAACTTTCAACATATTCGGCTCGAAGCTGAGACTTTTCTGGAATACATAACTAAAAGGGCTTCGATATGATTCGGCATTCGGTCCACCACGAACTAGCTTTAAAGTAGTTAAAATCGGCTGGGAAAAACCCGTCCTACGTTGTAGGCTCCTTCAGTCACTTCGCGATGCGGTCGGAGCAAGAAAAGAGTACATTTCATTTTTTTAAAACATAGTAAAATGAAATCGCACAATATCACAAGCATTCGCTTGTAAAATACAGCACTTTCTGGATCAAACATCCAAAAGATTCTCTTTTGAAAAACAGTACTGGAAAACTTTCTGGAAGAAACATCCAAAAGATTTTCCTCGGAAAAACATAAGACTTCTCTTCTGTGCGCACCGTGGTGGCTTAAAGAGAGCAGCCGCTCAAGGTACCTCATCTTTTTTTTTCGAACAAATTGAGTGTCACGTATTTCAAAATTCAAATCGGTTTGAGAGAAAGAATTTAATTGCTACAATATGTACAATTTCGACAAAAATAATTTACAGGTATAATTTACAAGACGAAGATAGGGTACAAAGTTTTTTTCAGAAGTTCTACGCGTTGAAAACTTCGATCGAAAGAACCCTTCGTTCTAGCCATCGTATTGGGTCGGAGTTTGATTGTTATATTCACGCTGCTTCTCAATTAGACCCTAAACAAAAGTGAAATTAGTTGTGATTTAGATACAGCCATTCAGATGGGCGAAGATAAGCTTTGAAATACTAGCGCATAGACTAATCCAGATAGTTTTTTGAAAAAAATGAACAACCCAAAAGAAAAATAACACAACAAAAAATCGACTGAGTTTCATACAAAAAACATTTGTTAAATCTGTTTGATTTTCTAGTATCTTTTGACCATGACACCTTTTTGATAAGTTAGCCGAATTAGAGAAAACAAGATCAATAACTGATTAATATAATTCGCAAGGAAATCTGAAAATTAAAATCCTTTTCTGAAATTAAGTCAAGTTTTTTGCACCTTGCACATTCGTCATTGGAAAGCGTAGTTTTCCTTTTTTCAGCACATGATTTTGAATTGAACTTCAAGAGATTTAAAAGTTAAGCAGCGAAAAATGATACTTGTAATGTGATCAAAATTTAAGACTTTCTTAAAAAAGTGCACGACCTAACGGTCATAGCTCCGATCACTGACACTTAAAACACTGTTCTCATAACTTCTTTCAATATGGAAGCAAAATTATTTTGCAAGCAGCTATTTTATTAAAAACCTTCGAGGATGTGATTAGACAGAAAAGGCATGTATCTTTGCTACCTGACGTAGTGAAGATAGTTGTTTGAGAACGGCATCATGTCTCTCTATGGCAGACCCTGTCGTGTTCCTCTGCTGCACTGGCTCGTCCAGAGAGAACTCTGAAGGGGGTGCTCTTCTCTGATGATGATGATGCTGCTGCTGACTGCCTCTTTGGTTGGTAGATGACTGGTGGTGGTTTGGAGGCTGCTGGCGTCTCGAACTGTTGATGGCTGGATCCATGTGGGCACTGGTTCTGCGAAAGGGGATGAAGTCTCCGTTTGCAACTGGAGGCGGGGAAGTTACTGAAATCAGATGTGAACACAGAGGCGGAGCACATAGTGGCGCCAATATTTGCGACTTAGGTTAGAAAAAAAAGGTTCTTATTAATAAACGAAGCTGACGAAGTGTAATTACATGACTAATTATATCTGAAATGAAGACTTGGAAAATAATTAAATAATAAATGTGATTTCTACGATTCGCAGAGGATCTATGAAAGGCTATCTAGCCTGTCTAAGCATAGTCCGTTTCTTTTATTTGCCCACACCCCAGACTGAGTTATTTTGTAAAGAAATGAGTGAGCTCTTCAACGAAATGCCTGCAATTTTAGATTCAATTTTAGATTATTTTCAACGGCAGCAGTATAAGGAAGCGAAATCTTTACTACATTTTCTCTAAACCACACCTTATTCTTCATTTTTCTTGGTATTCTCATCTTACTTTTATCTAAGATATTGATGAAAAAGAGATAACTTCCGAATCTTTGATTAAGATTAATCTGCATTACAATAAAATCTGAATGGCATTTCACATAAAAGGTCCGGAAGGTCTCGGAATAGATACCTATTCCAACAATTTATTTGAAAACCCAAGCATAATTTCTGGTTTGGATAAAATGCGAAGTGTTTCCGGCTACTTACCATTAGGATCAACATATCGACTACTCATTACAGTCTGCTGTGTTCTGCCTGTCTCCGGGATGGTAGTGTTGTGGTAATTCTGTTCGTTCACGTGGGTGGTGGCATTGGAGGGTGCTCTCTTGTTCTGCGATGGAATGGAGGGCTTGTCCATCGTTCTCTTCTGCAGAGCCGGAACAGGCGGAGACCGGTTGGATCTCAAAACAGCTTCTGAACAAAATTTCATTCATTTATAATCACAGAATTACAGAGGCAATTTTTTCATTTTAAATATGAAGAAGAGTCTATTTGCTATTGTCGACCGGAAATTGACTACACAAAGTATCATATAATAAAACTTCTCATCCAAAAGAAAATATTGAAACTGAAACCCGTCTGCCAATGAAATCTGATGCTTATTATTCTCATGCCAATGCTCATGTTTACATCGTATCTTGTACATAATATTAAATTAAGTGTAAATTCTTAGTTGCTGTTGCCTGCCACGCGAGTCACTTAGTGTTTAATTTTGTTTTTGTACCATTCTGTTTGTAGAGTGGTTTTCTGGACGAAGTCATTCCAGATACTGTGGACTGTTGGTCAGTGGCGACTGCCCCGAACTGTCTATTGTGTCTATTTAGAGTCTCCTTCTTTTTCTGCCGCAGATTCTCTGGCCTCCTGATGTCTCTCTCATTCGCTCTCCTCCCAGACTGTTTTGCCTGGTGGCTTCTCACTTCTTGTTCAACTGAAAAGGCATCAGTTAAAATTTGCTACTTCAAATTAAGTTCAAAAAATTCGAACATAGCCAACTGACAGTTGGAAAAGAGTAATGAACGCAAGGAAACTGAAAAAAAGATGACTTGTTTTTTTTTTCATAAACCAACTTCTGATTTCGAAGAAAAAAATGAATGGCCTTAAAGCTCTTTAATATTGTAGAACACTTTATGATGAACACGTTTTGGTTAAAATTAAACCAATTTGAGAAAACTGGATCAATAGGCAAATCTTTATTTCGCTGGGAAGATAATTAATTTCCATTTCCGAAATTGATCACGTTTTTCGTGAACTTCACAATTTTGCTGTTCGATAGTGAATTTTGCCTTCCTTTTAACAATGGAAATGAACTGAACTTAAAAAACACAAGTCAAACCACGAAAATCAAAACTGAGCGTGAACTAATCTTATGATTTTTTTCCTGAAAAACAAAAAAAATCACCAAGACCTATATAAAAATATTGACTAAGTTCATTACTCTTAATTAGATTTGTAAAACTTGTTCAAATGTTCAAATGGAATTTAACTATTCTGCTGTTTCTAAATTAAACAAATTTGTGAGTTAACTGTTTTTGAAGTCTGCGTACTTTCATCTAATTTAGCTACCATATCTGGATGATGCCAGTGCTGATTCGTTGTGCTGCTGGCGCCCATCATTAATATTCCTATTGGTATTCATCTGAGCTCCAATCTCATGTTGAGGTACATACTCCACAACTACATCACTGTCCTGCCTCTGCACTATATTAGCCCCAGTTGAGATCATGCCCATATTGCCAGCCCCTCCTCCTCCCCCTCTTCCCTGGTACTGGTGGGGGTCCAGGTGGTACGCTGATGAGTCTATTGGAGAGTGGACTACATTGGATCCAGGTCCAGTGAAATCACCAGGAGCCACCCTTCTATTAGCAACGTTCTGTGTCTCTCTGTTTCTTTGTGTCTACATATGAACGCTAAGATTTCGATTTGATTCAGTGGTTTATTTAAACTTCTAATATTCTAAAACGTTGAGACAAAAAAAACTTTCCAAGCACAGAACTGTAAAACATTATTTTACCTGCTGTAATCTACTGTGGTTGTGATTCGTATCCACGTAATGTGTTGCCTTCTGGACTTCTGGTGCTGCCTCCACTTGGCCATGCTGCTGTACATACTCATTCTGTGGTGGTTCCAGCTGTGCTTTGGGCACTGGTCTGGTCCTGTTGTACTCACTGGGGCCGGAGTCGGTTGCCAGATTTAGTTCTCTCCTCACTCTCTGTTCGTCCTCATACTCCTCTTGTTTTTGCTTCCTCTTCTCCTCCTCCTTCGCCAATCGCTTAGCTTCTATCTGTCGTTGCACTTCTTTCTGTAACGTATCAATTCAACAGTTTGGCGCTGCGCTTCGCAAACAGGCAAAACTACGCCAAAAACAAGTACTAAAAACTTTAAAATCCTTAATTCCATCAAAAAGCTAAGAAAAAAATCCTTGCATGTGCGATATCAGATTGAATTATCAAGTAATCAGTACAAATTTGAACTCGACTGAATGCTCGGCGTGCATGGAAGCTGGTAAAAGATTTCAACCAACTGTTCAATTCGAAAGTCGTCTGATTATGGTCAAAAGTTTCAATTGAAGTCTACTCACAACATGTTCCTGTTGTTTCTCTCGCTTATTGCGTTGTCTCTCTGCCTCGGCCGGATCAATCAGGGCCTTGAATCTCCCGAACTCATTCCTGTCAAACACACATCAAAAATAGCTAAGATTAAAACAAATTTAAAAAATGCAAAACGATGATCTACTTGGTAACATCTTCAATTTTATTTTAGATGCAACCAAGTATTGAATTTTACAACTTTCAACCCTTTCGCAATCACAGGTTGAAATCATTAAATAAATTACGAAATCAGCAAAATGCATCCGTGGTTTGATCATGAAAGGAGGAATTGATATGAATATGGAATTGATAATTATTCTCTTAAGTTCCTTCCATGCAAAAATACGATGGAAACCAAGCTATTTTCCCCGAGATATTAAGAAAGACAAGATGAGCATTAAAATCTTGCAATCACCAACACACGATAAAAACGAACTGACCTTTTCTCACGCCCACTTAAAACAAATTAGCATTACAGCATCAGTGGGCATTTAAAAAAACCAAATTGTCAAATCCTGACTCCAGTCTATGCGAATAAACATTATTCCATTTCAGATGTTCACAACACAAAAGCGGTTCCATTTGAACGAACAATTATGAACATGAAGCATGGGTCAAAACAGTTTTGAATTATACACTTCAACTTGAACCGAGAAAAACAAACAATAGTGTTTACTCTTTTACATATGGTAGACGATAATCAGGCCTTGCGACCTGCTTCTAATCCTCTTAAAGAGCAATAACTTTCAGTAATCAAAACGATATACTACGAAAAAGACACTCAAAAAATTCATTCAAACACAGGAAAAAAAAACAGAAAGTAATTAACAATCATTGGATTATACGTGTTAATGTATTACCCATGATAATATCGGCTATATTGAAAGGGAAGAAAATTTTACTAACATTTTAACTATAATTTATTAATTTACTTAGGAAAAAAATTAGAAATCCCGTATCTACCAAAACATGTTTCAAAAAAATTATTATCGAACAAGATAGTAACTGAGAGATTCTTATAATACACTTTGAGCGGTTTCTCATTTTAATCAACCAGATTTTGAATAATCTTTTCTTCAAACTGAATACTTGCTTTCAACAACATCATTTAAGTGTTTCAGGCATTTCAACAATTCTTTATTTTTTGTATCTTCTGATTTGAGGACCCTTATTCTGTTTTCTTCACTAAGTGACTTTTGTATTTCATTTTTGACTATTGCTGACTTCAAATCATCATTATATGAGTCACCTCGCAATATTTCTACTAAACGGCAAATCAGCTGCTTTAGATGAATCTCTATCGTTAGAAAATTTCCGCTCAGATCGTGCCTCATACAGTATTTTTTTTCTAAGGTTCAAGCATAGTCTCCATAGAAGTATTCAATAACAGTCTTGTTGGCAGTAACAAACATAGGTGCCCCATATTCGTATACAGTTTTAACATAGGTGTTGTAAGTTTCAAGAAGTTGTTTCCTTGTTAAATATTTTCTCAGTGTATACAAAATATACACTGGCTAGTTTTTTCAAGCATGAACAATATGCTCTTTGAATTTTAATTTGCAATCAATAACCAAACCAAGGTAGGTATACAAAAAAAACATTGATCTGATTTATTGTTTTCAATATCGGCGATGCTTATTGTTTTTTTAGTGGAAAAATTATAATTTTTGTCTTACCGCTATTTCTTGTCAATTCATTAGTAATGAAACAATAATCTAACTTATTTAAATCCTGACTAAAAACTGAGTTGATTTTTTTCCAATGTTTCCTGTTATATAAGAGTGTCATCGGCAAACAACCTTAATTACGCGTAATTAAATTGTTTTACATTCACATCGTAAATAAACATCATTTATATAGATAAATTAGGAAAAGTTTGGGACCGAGGACAGAACCTTGCGGCAATCCATAAGTAAATTTATATATACATTTTAGTAAATCATACATTGGTCCGCGTAGTCCATGATTCAAGTACTTTGTTAACAACAAATTGTGTGGAATTGTGTCAAACATTCGTTAAATCAATGAAGCCACTCTGTGTCTGCATTTTTTCAAGTTAATTTTTTTCACTAGACTAACAATTGAATGCTTTGTACTTCGTTTTTTTTTCCGAAACTTAGTCTTTTCTTTGTTTTCCTTTGCTAGACTCTTTAGTGTTTCTTACCTGGGTCTGTCTGTTAGTTGGACTGGCTCCTCGAATGCCTGGTGGAAAACGAGGTGTGTCTGGGAAGAGTTGTATGCTGTCTGCCCTGTCTCGTTCACACTCTCTCGCAACTCATTTCCCCCCATACCACCACCTCCCCCTCTGAGGGACGCAGTCGCATTCGGATGTTTGTTCATCCACGGATCCGCCGCCACTTCAACTGACTAAAACATACGCAATCAACATAACATTCCAACTCAACTTCCTGATCAATTATCTTGCTGCAGTTTGACCTCAGATTGCATCTCTTGCCAAAGAGCTTTCTTACGAGCAAAAAAAAACATAATAGGCCAAAAAAATGCGCCCAGACAAATCGATTTTCTGAGCACCAATGTTGCCCCAGGCAAATTGATTTTCCGAGCACCAATGTTGCCCCGGGCAAATTGATTTTCCGAGCACCAATGTTGCCCCGGGCAAAATGATTTTCCGAGCACCAATGTTGCCCCGGGCAAAATGATTTTCCGAGCACCAATGTTGCCTCCGATCACCTCTTTTCTGCGCCCAGGCAAATCGATGTCCTTACAAACATTTTTTGATTCATTCGTCCAAACAGTGTTTACTGTAAAAAAAATAATAAAAACGGAGCACCCTTTTGGTGAAAACCCTCCCCCATCCCTCTTCGATATTAGAAAAACTATATCTAATCGATGAACATTCATGCAAAACATGCAGACCGGTTTCATTTCCTTTCCACTGAGCTGATTTGCACCATCGACTTCGTCGCCGCCTGCTGGGTATCTATTTTGTGTCTGTTTTACAGGCGACACTTGACTGCTATTTGACATCTGGTTGGTTATGGACACTTGGTTATTCTGAGGAAAGTGGGTCGCAATTCTATTCTGAATAAGCTTCTTCATTTTCAACTCTAGTTGAAGTCTGTTCCGATTGGGCACATATGCAGCCAATGGGTTATCTGGTTGGAAATTGTTCGAATTTTGATCCTGCTCAGTTATCTTGCTCGCTTCGTCGTACACTTCTGCTAGTATTGTCGTGGCACGTCGAGGCGTAACGTCTATGAAACTCTATCAAGACATGCAACATGCAAATAATGAAATAACATGCAAGACGAATGATTCAAAACATTAAAATCTTTAACTTTGAATTTCGAATAAAAAATTAGATGGCCTTAAGGCTCTTTGAATTTGTAGAACAATTTATGATGTACACTTTTTTAGTAAAACTAACCCAATTTGAGAAAACTGGATCAAAAGGTAAAACTTTTATTTCGCTGGGGAATCTGATAATTAATTTCCATTTTCAAAATTAGAGATCAATCACGTTTTCTGTGACCTTTACAAAATTGTTGTTCGATAGTGGATTTTGCTTTCCTTTTAACAATGGAAATGTACTGCATTTAAAAAGAAATCAGTAGAACCGCGAAATATCAAAATTGAGCGTGAGCAAATTTTAAGACTTTTTCCTGAAAAAAAAATCAGCAAGACCTATATAAGAGCCTTCACTACGTTCATTACTCTTAAAAACACTGAATTTGTTGAGAAAATCTCAACTTTCGAATTTGAAAGAACATAGCCAAATGACAGTTGGAAAAGAGTAATGAACGCAATGAAACTGAAACAAAAACTGAATTTTGTTTTCAAAAATCTTCAACTTATGAATTTCGAAGAAAGAATAGATGGCTTTAAAGCTGGTTGAATTTTTAGAACAATTAATGATGGACACTTTTTTGTTAAAATTAACCCAATTTGAGAAAACTGGATCAATAAGCAAAACTTTTATTTCACTGGGATATCTGATAAATAATTCCATTTTCGAAATTAGAAGTCGATCACGTTTTCTGTGACCTTTACACTTTTGCTATTCGATAGTTGATTTTGCTTTCTTTTTAACAATGAAAATGCACTGAACTTAACAGGAAATCACAAGTCAAATCGCGAAAAAAAATTGAGCGTGAACAAATTTTAAGTCTTTTTCCTAAAAAAAAAACAAAAAAAAATCAGCAAGACCTATATAAGAGTCCTCACTACATTCATTATTCTTTAAAAAAAGATGCCCTTTGAGCTCTTTGATTGTCTATAACAATTTTTGATCGGCTCTTTTTTGATAACATGAACGCACATAGAGAAAACTGGATCAAAGGTTAAGTTTTTATTCCGCTGGAAATCTTAAAATTAAATTCCACTTTCGAAACTAGAAAAAAATTAAGTTTTTTCGCACCATTTCCACGTTCGTATTCGGAGAGTGTTATTTACGTTACTTTCAGTAGATGAATTTAAATTGAACTGAAAAAGTGCATTATACCTAAGCCCATCAATATTTTAAGACTTTTTCCGGAAAAAAAAACAAAAAAAAAAGCAAGACCTATATAAGAGTCCTCACTACATTCATTATTCTTTAAAAAAAGATGCCCTTTGAGCTCTTTGATTGTCTATAACAATTTTTGATCGGCTCTTTTTTGATAACATGAACGCACATAGAGAAAACTGGATCAAAGGTTAAGTTTTTATTCCGCTGGAAATCTTAAAATTAAATTCCACTTTCGAAACTAGAAAAAAATTAAGTTTTTTCGCACCATTTCCACGTTCGTATTCGGAGAGTGTTATTTACGTTACTTTCAGTAGATGAATTTAAATTGAACTGAAAAAGTGCATTATACCTAAGCCCATCAATATTTTAAGACTTTTTCCGGAAAAAAAAACAAAAAAAAAAGCAAGACCTATATAAGAGTCTTCACTACGTTCATTACTTTTAAAAACACATGGGAATTAACATGAGGGGCACAATGAACAAAAAAGATACACGCTTTACTTCTTTTAAAAGACTTCGGCCAAAGAAAAGTAAAAATTATTGCTTTAACCAGCGTTTCTTTGCTATATTGACGTTTTTTTTTTCATGCATAATCATTGTACCATCTTGAAAGATAGAGACAGTTTTAAATGAACGATCTTGCACGAAAAAGGGCTTTGAGAATCCGCAGAGTATAACTTACCCGTCTGAGCTCGTCTTCGATCATCTTTTTCAGTCGTTGTTCTTCTTTCTGTTTCTCTAAAAAGACAAAACAATGACGGTTCACTACATTTCCAGTTCCCTGGATGGCAATTAAGGGCCTATGTCACATTCTGAAGGAACGCCGTGTTGTGTAATCGTCGTGAACAATGTTTCATCGAAGAACTTAACTTTAATTGAGATGATGAAAAAGGAAAATTGGCTGAAAAAAACCTTTAACTACGTAAATTTAACACAGAAAAACTTCGCGTAAACGTACCTAACTCTTTGAGCCACTGTTGCTGCTGATACTTCTTCGTTACAGCCAGGTCGTTTTCACTCTATAACAACAGATTTTAGCGATCAATTAGAGCTCCTAAGTGCGACTTTGAATGTCCGCCAATATTAAAGGTACCCGGCCGAGGATTCCATTTTTTGTCGTGGATTCCGGCCGTGGAAATTAAAGCATTGGTTTTTCAGCTTTCGATTTGGCTAATCACAATCGACAATACTCAAAGTAATTGAATTACCACGACTTGGAAGTGGTCCAGCATGGCGCTGGGTTGGTTCATGACGTGTCGTGGACTCAACACTTTCGGAGACGATGACATCACACGCAATCTATCCATACCACCATTTGCATCCTCAGTCCCGCCTTTATTCTCTTTCTGATCACGCCCTTTCCTAGTTTCCCTATTATTCTGCTCATGTTTTGGAGCGGGAGGTGGCGAATGACTAATCGGCTGTTTCTTGGGAATCTCAGCCACTATCGTCTCTTTTCGCAGCGTAGAGTTTTCTCCTTAAATGGAAAAATAGAACACACATAGCAGAAGCAGCCTGACTTCATTTTTGAAGCTGTAACAAGCTAAACATTACTTGAAGCACGATTCGTAACCAAGTTTAAACTTATCTTCAGTTCACAAACTTTTCGGATTAACAAAAAATCTGCTTCATAAGAACTCTCGAAACTCAATTTGATTAAATAACACAAGCACTTCTCTTACTTTTCTGTTCTTCCCACTGCAATCTTTTCTTTTCCATCAACGTCAAGGGTGGCTTTGGTTTCTCAATCTCTACTTTTTTGTTCTCCTTAGAGGAGTCACTTTTGGGAGAATTCTCTTGTGACACTTCTTCTTTCCTGTCGGTAACTTGGGCTGAATGATTCACTGGAAGATCTGATGATGTTGCTGAGAAGTTAGTCACATTGAGTTCACTCGTCTCATGCTCTACTGTAGTGTTAACAGCAGCTGTTTTCTTTGTTCTCTCAGGCACGGGAGACGCTTTTTTCATGGGGGAACGATCTCTCTTATTCCGATCTCTACCTCTGTCTTTTTCTGGTCTGTTTGGTTTCTGACCGGGCCTAGACGGCTTTGTTTGTTCATACACAATGATGGGACTGAAATAGAATTTTCACTTAAGTCTAAATTTTACTGTCCACTTTTAGACACACATTATAGCCACAAAGGGATATGCTAAAGGTATGCTACAAAGAGGCAAATAGTTCAACAACTAAACAGCCAGAACAAATAGTACCTACATACCGAGCTGTTGCTTCTCCTCTGCAAAATAAAACAAATAACTAGCACTATATTTCATTGGAACGAAGAAATTTTCCACAATAATTTCTTATTAGTTCTGTTAAATTTAATGCGATGGAAAGTTTCTTTAAAAATACCTGAGAGCTTTTGAGACTGTTGAATGCATCCGCTCTATTCTTTCAGGGTCGGCAAATTTCTTTTGGCTCGCAGTCATCTTCTTGTCTTTTGAATTCGTACCTGGCTTCTTACTAACTGGTTTTTTGTCCCCCTTTCCCAACAGGTCCATGATGTTTTCACCTCCTTTCGGTTTGCCTTTCGCAGGCAGGCTTTTCTGTATCGGTTTTGATTCTTCCGGATGTGATGGCAATTTTTTCTGTTTATCTCTCTTTTCTGGAGTTGGTTCTCGATTCAATTCCGCGTTCGTTTGTCTGATTCGCGCACTTATTGACTCTTCAGCTTCCACAGCAAGGTTGTCTCTAGTATCTAAATTAGTTTTTTTTTTCAGCAAAACTCAGACATTGTTCACTTCCTCACAGAGAGCGAATCTTGAGCTCCATTTGAAAAAGAACTTTCGAAATGAAACTTCGAACACAGATGCGAAGCTGAGCTTTGCACCACTTGTGATACAGAAAAAAGAAACATGAAACAGGTCGAAAAAAAAATCGAAAATGTCGAAAAAAACTTGACCGATCAAAATGAATAAGGCTAGTTTTCAAACAAAAAGATGCCACATCAAAAAATCTGGAACTTTCGAGCGGTAACAAACCCTAAGAACCACAAAAAACCTTAGCAGAAACCCTTCACTTAAGAAGTCCTCCTCACTCTCAAAATACACACGCAAAACTTAGTTGCTCGTCAAATGAATCAATTTGAGTCCACTAAGCCAATATAGTATAGCTCGAAACCTATTAAGCAGAAATTTTTTTAAAAGCCGAAAAAAATTTAAGTCTAATTGAAAGTTATTAAGTTCTCCTTAGCCTCAAAACTCACACACACGCACATACAAAATTTTTTCTCTCGTCAAAAGACGCAAAATGAGACCAGTAAGCCGATTTAATATAAGCCTAAAAGTAACAAGCGTAAAAAAAGAAAAGAAAAAAACAAAAAAAATTGTCATGAAAAACTATGATTTCTATCAAGATTTTTAGCATTTTGAGCAATCCAGAGGGGATCATAAAAATTATGTTTCCCTTGAAACGAATCGAAACTAGTTCACTATGCCAATAAAATATAAGCCGAAATCATTGGGGCAGAAAAAAGAAAATAGACGAACTCAAAGTTTAAAAAATTACAAGCAGCAGAAGTAAATCAAAAGACTACACAGCTACAAAGTAACTTGCGTACAGCAAAAACAAAAAAAAATCTACGATGTGGCAACAAAGCCGGCAAAACATAAGCAGACAAATAATAATCCGACAATTTTTTTGAAACCTAATATTTCTCGTTTAAAAAAACAGGATGCTGTCAGATTCGTACCCAGGACCATTGCCGGCCCAGGCCTCTTCGTTACCTCCAGACTAAGTGTGCCCAAGATGCAAAGAAATATGCACTAGTTAGGAAGAGAACCTAAACTTACCATTTCTAATTTTGCCCATTCTGCGAACAAAGCTATTTACGGGAAAAACGACCAGTACGCGATTGCATTACATGGGTAAAAATGAATAGTCAAGCCTAGTTCTTTGTTTTCTGTGTCTAAATTTTTCTGAAATAAAAAAGGATTGATGCTATACATATTGCATTGAAAATACTTGCATACTCCTTTTACTACAATTGGATAAAATGAAATTTACTTTTTTGTTTTTAAACCTTAATGAGACAAAATCGCTGCCAAATTTATGTGTAAATTGTAGGAAAAAAATTAGAGTTCTTTTACATATGACTCCCATGGTTCCATTTGTAAGCTTCGAGTCACTTAGTCTGAGAAAAAACGGAAAACTTCTTTGGGAATTCAACCACGATCAAGAGGACTTTACTATGGTATTGAACCCCTTAGAGATGTGAACCCCTAGGAGATTTAGGCGAAAAAAAAAACAACGCCTAACCCATAATTTCTTCGTCTTTTAAGTAATGTGGTCGAAGCAAAAATATCAACTGTCGGGTATTCCTCTAGTAGGCTCAGAGAACAAAGAAAAAAGTTTTGGCAGAGGCTTTTAATTTTAGTATATCTGGTCACTCTCGCTGATATCTCTCGAGTGATTTTTCAATTTATAAACCAAGAGTTCATGTTATTGTTTCCAGCCTTCAAATTTATTTTACAAAGTTATCAGTAAAGATCGGTCACTCTGTTTTCATCACGCCTTTTTCGGAATTTATTATTTGAGTTCAAATGTTTTCTTCCTGTTCCTTTCTCAATGATGTTTACCAGTCCCCTCGTTCACATCTTCCTGTTTTATCACGGAAAATATAGTCTGTGGTCTTAAACACCAAATAGGGTCTTGAAGTAGTTTGGTTAGATCAAATAATAAATCGCAGCCGTAAATGAATTTAGGTATGTGACACTACCGTCCTTAAAAAAGTTGCCACGGGTTCGCAAAACTGTCTGCACTCAGCCTTGTTGTAGAAAATGTATGGTTACAGTTTTGCTGTCCTTTAGTTCCAGGCACATCCGTTGGTCAGATTATATATGTTTACAAATAAACGGTACATGAATAAAAACTTTTGTCGAGAATGTGTTGAGGTTATAGAGATAATTTTCTTTTAGGTGATACTATTCTTTATAGTGATACCTTGAAGTTTATTGAAAGGTGTTTTACTTAAGGTGTAAAAAACGTCCTTATGTTCTTTCAGTGGTACTATTTTCCATTCATGGAATGAAGTCCCGGTTGTGACTTAGAAACATCCCGGTTGATGTATGATGTTTGTGAGGTGAAAGCGTGAGCTCTCACTTTGTTGAGTTCCATTGTCATCTCTAATTTTTATCGATTCGCATGTTCTTTCACGTCGTTCAGTGTTTCGTGAAACGAAGCTGTGGGTTCCACTGAATCGAGAGTTGTCTCTTGTGCTAGTGGAGGTGTCAAAAGTGAGATGGATTCCTTTTGCATTTGTGGTAGATCTACATAAATAGTGCATGGAGCACCATTGAGCCGATGAAGGAAATTATACTCCTTATCAGCGAATTTTTTCATGTCAGTCGGTCATCAGAGATTCTTGCTAACGAAGGTCGAAGTTTTCTCATATTCAGCGCTAACGGATTTGCTATTTTCCTCATCTGTTCTTGATTTTGAACATTCAGGATTTCGAGTAGCTTCTTTTTTACTTCCTTGAATAATTCGATTCTCGCTTCCGTTTTTTAGTCGTAGTATGGCATGTCCTCCAATTCTGGCAATTCGCTTAGCAAGTTTGAGATCAAGTCCGGCAATCGGACATTGATCTTGATTGCTGGGAGCTGTTCGCATGTTGCTAAATCAGATCGATATTTTATGCTAGGCATACCAACTGTTTTCCACATTCCAGTGTTACAATGCAGATATGACATCCCGGGAACTTTTCCATTCCACTGGGGTTTGTTGATTCTACATCGGACTCGAAGAGGGCATATGTAGATGTTGCTGATGTGATCAGCCATAACCCAAACCCTAGATTTTCAGCTTTTTTCAGTGGATGGTAACTGAATCTTTTCGGTGTCGCATACTTTTAGTGTGTCCAAGTTCCCTTTGAAGAAAAGAGTTGCCAGGCACGATCCGTGTCCTGTCTCAATAGGGATCATTTCGCGGCAAATCTGATATCTTGAAGATCCAAGGCAGTGTTTCAAGTTGTACTCCGTTGATACTGCAGTTTCCATATTGTCCTCCGAAATTGCCAACTAGGGAGCTTCTGATTTCCACAATCGCTTTATCCTTCTCGTACTGTGGCATCGGGACTGAAGTTGCATGGAAGACCGTAAACGAAGTTTACCGTGACGCTAGTGGAATGCCTTCTTTGATAATGACCACGTCAGTCAGAAGCTGAGCTTCATAGTATGACAAGATTTTGTCCATCGTTATGGCCAAAGAACGTCGATCACGAGCGTGACTTTGCAATTCAGAAACTTCTTCTAGATTTTTCGTCAGCGAGTCTGCGGGCACTAGCGACATCGGTAGAAATTTATTCAGCAAAGAGTAGCGCGCTGATCGGTACGATTTCACGATTGCAAACCTAATAGCAAGCAGTGAGTAGACCGTGTCATAATTGAAGTTTATGTGCTGTCTTGTAAATAGAAGTTGATCACAGTCTCGAAGAATGTGAATATTTTGTTTGAAAACTTCGAAGTCCTCTTGAATTACGATTTGTAACATTCCGTCTTGTGCCTATTTTATCGAATTTAATTCACTCGTTACCATGAAGAATTTTTCATCTAGATTTTCTGAAAGCGTATAGACATTTTCAGATATTTGGCTGGCGAAGTCAGAGAGTTTGGCAATGTTTTCAGCATTTTTTTAGACTTATCATTGCAGGATCCAAAAACTCCTCGTATCCCACAATCTGCTGTTTTTCCTAGTAGAAATCCACCTCCGAAAAGTTCAACTGATGCTAGGGCTGCAATAGCTAAGGCGGGTGCTCATTTTTGCCTCAGATTGGATTTCAGTTGTTGTTCATGAAGGAATGAGGCCGTATATTTACGCAAGGATGCATGTTCCTGTTTGGCTAAAGAAACATCGTTTTTCACTTGATGAAACAGCCAGTCGACATCAAAGGTTGAATCATCCTTGGTGAAGTTGGACGAGAAGTTCAAATGGCAAAATAAGCTGGGTTGTGTCCACATTTCAGCTAGTTGTTTCAGGAAGTCCTCATGTTCATCACGAATATTGAGTTGAAAATTTGGAAAAGGGACTAAGATTTCAATGGGAATGAAATTTTCTGCTAGGAGAACTTTCGGTTCATAATTGAAGATGATTGCATTTTCCAAAACCGTCTCTGATAGTTTATCTGAGTTGATGTCGAAATTCCATTGTGATTAGACCGTGTTGAGTGCTATGAAAGTTAAATACATTTTATTTAATGTAGTTTGAGATTTTCAGATCCTTTGAAAACTGAACTTGTCCTTGATTTTATTTATTGTTCCGTGCATTTGGGCCTGTGAAGAAAATAACGTGTTAGAGAAGAAGCTGTTGTGTTGTGATGGAGAAGTGTGAATTAATGAGGAGGGGCCGTGAGTCAGAGATTGGATGGGAGTAGGTGAGGATGGGAAGAGAGAGGTTAATGGGGGAGATGTTGGATATGATCTCAGCATGAACATGTGTTTTGTTGTGGTGCCTTTTCATGTTCTCTTCTTGTTTTGGAAGATAGTATTTAGAAGTGCCTTGAACTAGATCAGGTCTAAAACAATTAGAGATAGGTAAACGTAAAATTAGTTGTTGTTCTGTTCAATGTGCTTTTCGATTGATTAAAAAGTAAAACCTGATTTACTTTTTGATGAAATTTAAGAATTGGGGTACTTGTGTTTTTCGTCAGCAAGATAAATCATGTTTATTGCGTCATTTTTTCTCTACTCTCAAGTAAAACTAGCCTGTATGTGTTTCTGTTTACTCTTGCATGATTTTTTTTTATTATTATTTTTTTTTGTTGCATGTTTTTCTTTTATTTTTTTCAGATAAGTGAGTGCAATTTTATAGTGCAACATTGACAAAACACTTTTGGACCCAGTTGTTCGATACAATTCTTTTCGACACATTTCGGAAGAACAGATACGTGAGTTGCGCTAAAGCCTTTAAAAAATCTGGATGGCAGAGGAATGAAATCCTGGAACGAGGTCACTCAAAAGGCAAAAGAAGAGGGACTGAGTGAATTCCTGGACAAAAAAATATGCTGGTTTGAAAAACATGCTGGTATGCAGCCGTAAATGGAGTTTAGGGATGTGACATCTGGCATTCAAAATGGGTATTCCCAAGCCGCCCTTAGACCACAAAAAGTATGTAGAGGGCAGCGCCTTTAAAAATGTGTATCAGCTCTTCCTGGGACTCAAGGCTTAATAACAGCAATAAATCGATAGGAAAAATCTGCAGAAGAGTGTTTAAGTTATAACCAAAAAAATATAAATGTTAAAAAAATCAAAATCATCTATCATTGTTTGAAGCGTCCTGTTGCTTTTCCGAGGCGGATCTGGATTTCGTGTGAGACGTCACCATCGAGTTGCAGGCAGCAACCTGCAACTCGATGGTGACGTGTCACACGAAATCCAGATCCGCCTCGGAAAAGCAACAGGACGCTTCAAACAATTAGACAAGCTCTGGAAACAAAGATCAGTCCCGACCAGAATCAAATCGAAAGTATACAAAGCATGTGTCGAAAGCGTGCTCCTGTATGGATGTGAACCCTGGCCAGTCAAGGCATCCGATACTCAACGCCTCGACTCCTTCAACTGCAGATGCCTGAGAAACCTTGGTGCTCCGACAGACACCATGAGTTCCACCGTACAACAAAGACGCCTCAAATGGCTAGGGCACACCCTACGCATGGAACCCAACATGATACCCAACGCATGCCTGGAATTTGAGAAAGCCGACAACTGGAAGATACCCCCCGGTGGAGTAAAGAACTCATGGAGACGGTTAGTGAAGAAGGAACTCCGCCCATTCTTGAAACCCCAAAAAATGACCCACAAGAACTGGGAGGCAAGCTGTTTCGATTTGGCCAAAGATACTGCACTGAACAGGCCGCAGTGGAAAGCAATTGTGAGAGATATACATATGGCGGGCAATGGGCAGTAATGCTCGAAAACGCCCTACGACGACGACGACGACTGACTTTTCAATAGCCGCATGGAGTCCATATACGCAAGGCCTGATGAAATCAGAGATACTTTTACCAATCTAATGAGTTGTGTGATCAATGTAGAACTCACCGAAAATAAAGGAAACGAATTAGAGTTAGTTCTGAATGTCTAAAAGCTGTTTTAAAACATGACACTTAAGTAATTGCATAGTTCTGATGAGGTTAATTTCAACAATAATTTACCTGAAAATTGTAAACGAAAGGAATAGTTGACCTCCATGGTCCAAGGCTCACTTTTTTGTTGTGTCTTAATGAAGAGACGGTGTCAAAATGTGGCCAAACCGCGTAAATTCTCATCAATATAAAAACTCTGAAATCTAGTTCTCAAACGTAAAAGTTTGTGAAGTTAAAAGTAAAATAAAGCGCATAACCCACAACATCGTGCAAAACTCAGCGACTAAAAAAAATTGAATTAAAAAACTATAGGAAAGATTTGCACGAAAATTAGTGAAATAAAAACCAAAAAACTATGACAACAAGAGCAACAGCTTGTGCACGGAAACCGTACCTGAACAAAAGTGCCCTTTTTGTATAATTTATGTTTTTTGACACTCAATTACACTAAGATGGGAAAGTGTAGTTGAGCTGTCTTTTTTAAACATACTTCTGTTGGCAAGTAACACTCATCAATCCTTGCACACTCACCTTTTAATAGCCGCATGGAGTCCATTTCTTCGGCCGCTAAATTGCAGACTTCATTTATGGTGCCAACTAATGCATCCAGCTGCTTCTTTGTGAGAGTAACGGTTTCCTCGTTATTCTCTGCATTATTCTTCATTCTGGTTGCTACTGGTTTCGCCACAGTTTTTGGCTTAGCTTGAGTGTTTTTTATATCTTCAGCTCTATAGCAAGCATCAGAAATGATAAATTATATTTGAAACAAACTTTTACAGTAGGAATATCACACATAATTCGAAATCAGCGAAAGCTTACTTTTCTGTGTCAACCTGTTTTACAACGGGTTTCTTTTTAACAGGCGGCTGAACGACTTTCCCTCGCGCACCTCTCGGGGCTACTGAAATAAAAATGAGACCAAATAAAAAAAAACTTAAATAAACACTATTTAACTTTGTTACTCATTATTACTCTCGCGACATTAGTCGAAAAAACGAAACAAGCAAATTATTCGGCTACCATTTCAATATAATATCCTATCTGCTAACTTCTTTTGAAACAAGAATTTTGAGTATTGAGGTTCACCTACTTCCAGATGGCAGCATGATTTGGAGTTGTCCATTATTTGAAGCCAAAAGCAATCCTTGCCTAAAACGATACTATTGAACTCATTTTTCCGAATTTCATGAAGAAGATGTGTTTCGAAATAAAAATCCAAATTAAAATTCAATAAAAATAACGAACCCTAAGTTGACACTTGGAGGCTCTTTCATTGTAATCTGAAAGAAATTAGTTGCTGTTTTCAGCTGCTTAGGTAAATCAGAAGATCAGAAGGTCGAAAGTAACTGTAACATTCGCCCAAATACTACACAGCGACGGAGCTTAGAAAAAGTACCTATTAACGACAGGCAGGCGTCAGTTACCTTAATCCTACTCGTTTTTCACCGTCTCGACCTTGCCAGTTGATTTTCTGGTCTGTTTAGGGCTAAGTAAAAAGTTACTATTTTTAGGCCATCAGTCAAACGAATTTTGATCAGCTTTCGTTTACATGCGAACACAACCACATAGCTGAGTCTCGGATCCTCAGACTACGTGATTGTCATTAAAAACACGGCTCGAACAACCTATTTTAACATGTTTTTGTGTGACAGTTCTATATTAAATCCATTGGAGATGGATTGACCCTTTCCTCTTTCTAGCTACTCATATTCTAATATATCAAATAATACCGGTGTTAATTCAGACTTCTACGACATCCAAGTAGCTACAAAGTCAGTTTTATATAGTCCTTTCACGTAAAACAGTCTCTGGGGGACCAAGCCTCCGCTCCCGTAATCTTCCTGAGATAACGTTCTTATCTCTTCCAATTTGTGGCACGGGAGGGTTCCGTGGAATATTCCTTCCCCACTGAAGCTTCCTTCTCCGCCAATTTCCGCTGCTAAGAGTCTTATCGTGTGTTGTTGCCACGATAAGAGGCTTCGTTTTTTTCGTCTCTTGTGCGACCGTTTTCCACAATATTTTTCGTTGTTCTGTTTTTTCGTCGTTTTCAGTCAAAATGGCCGTCTTTTTTGTATTTCTGAGAAATATCCACTCTTCAATCGAAATTTTAAAAATAAAAATTCAAGAATGTTCCTACCCTCCTTCGCAATACTTTTTCGTTCCTGAGGCCTTTATTCGTTTTTTTTCGTGTCGTCGGAAGGTTGCGCTGTGTCAATCTGGCAGAATGGCACATACTCCCCGGACAAGTCCCCATCAATGTCCCTATTGATCGCATAACACCGGGTTATCGTCAAGTAGTGTTCCAGTTCTCTGTAATCAATCTAACAAATCGCATAAGAAAATGAAATTTATCTACTCCACCTCAACTCACTACGTATTCACAAATGGCATCATACTACATTTCACTGCTTTTCAACATTTTCACAAAATTCGCATCATGAGGAGTGTCCTAGATAAAATTTCTTTTCTGACTACTTTCTTCGTCTTGCCATAAAACTTCTTTTTGCTCTTTGTGATTAAAAAATGGGACGTGGCACGGCCACGCACCCGTTAAAATTAACTTAACATCACTCACCAAGTATAATCAGTTATTTATGCGGTCTTTCAATATTAAAACTAAGAAACTCTGTGGCTAGGAAAGTTATTGAGTCACTCACCCTTCTCGAGCGAGTTTACCCAAACTTACCATGTCGCCACACAGTGAAATTGTGTCTTACACAGGTTAAAAACTTCAGTCATGTTTAAATAGGTAAATATACTCACCTATGTTCTATATATATATATATATACATAAATAGTACAACTAAAATTCTCTTTCAACAATTTTAACAATTGTAACAATTTTCAAAGTTTGGTTTGACCAAACTAAATCAAAACAAAAAATTTAACAAGTTCAATAATCAAAACTTGGTTGATTGGTTCGAGTTTTAACACACAAAGACAATCAAGTTTTCTCTCCTTCTCTTTTCTTCTTTGCTCACGTCTTCACTTGTTCTCTTCGTTCATCATCTTCATTCCATCGCTTCTCCATCCTGATTTTCAGCTTCGCTGTCTTCTAGGACTTTCTCCAGCATGTCCATGGAGTTGCGGGCCGTGCCCCAACTCTCCTGTTCCAACAGCCTCGGTTTGCAACAAGGTAGCAAGTCCACATTCACCTTTTGCTCCCGGTTCCTGCAAAAGCTGTTGTGAAGAGATAGGCTCACATTTATTTCTAGGTCAACTCTTAAGACCTCTTTCTTCTCATCTTCAGTTACACAAGGCGCTCCAGCTACTCGCTTCACCGCCGTGGTGACCGCGTTTCTGTGCGTCAGGAATGCTCTCTTATAGGCTCCCGGTCCTATATCTAGCTGGAAAGATTGATAGGCTTCCGTGTTCCTCGACATGTGACGCTTCGCGCGTTCATACATCCATGATGTCATCACCGCACGGAACCAAGGCATCAATCTTTGCTTTGACCATATTCTTTCAATGGCTTTGGGTATTCTCAGAACCTTGCAGGTGGTTCTGAAAAGATCCAATTCACGACTCATCTTCACGTTGCTCAGCTGCTCAGGAGTCGGCACGGCCGTCTCCTGTTCACTCGTGTCCGCGTTAGCCTCCAACCATCTCACTGCCAGCATGGCACTAACCACCACGATTGACACCTGTTGATTCTGATCGGGCAACTCCGTAGAGTACAACTCCTCCACGTCCCATACTAGCATCAGATTCCCGCGTTTGGGGTACCACAACGTCTGCGCCAAGCAGTGGCAAGGATACTCCCCATGGGTTCTCACTATGTTCCTTCGGGTCCGATACCCTGAGGCCCCCAGCAACGGTTCCACCTCCATCAGGATTCTGTGTAAATCGTCTTTCTCTTGTATGGTGGGGAATTCAGTGGGTAACGCTCCACTCGCTTTCTGCTTCTGGAACTCACTCACATTACCTTCGTTCAATCTCATGAACTCTTCACCCACTACATCTTGCAACTCGCCTTCAGATCTCTTCGGGACTGCCCGAAAGATCTTTGCCAACAAATCAAATGACATCTCCGACATTCTGGCCAACCTCAGGCACTTTGGCACAGAGAGAAGTTGGTCAATCAACACCTGCTGCGTCCTCGCATCCATCACCACCATGTGTGTAGGATACCTACTATTGCAATATGGTGCGGAGCTTGAACCCACCAGATATTTTGAACCAGTAGGTTTATGATAGGCTTCACTATCTTTCAGATTCATTTCGTTCTCCAGAACTTCTCGCCAGCCCCTGATCTTCTGCTCTGTCTGCAATGCTCCAGGGAACACTTCCACGCTGAGGGACGTCACTAGCTCATGGGCACGCTCCAGGCGCTCAAGCGATTCTATCGAACTCGTCATGCTACAAAATCCCAAGGCTGTGATCAAATTTACATCCGTCAGCCCATGACAGTCCGCGACCAACTCCATGCCACTCTTATCCGACATGCTCAATCTTCCGTACAATCGTGCCAGTTGTCGATGCTGCTCGCTCAGCGTAATCAGGCAGTGTCCCAAATTGCAAACATGTCCTTCCATCCCACTATGTTGAGCCAAGCATGTGCCTTGCTTCAACCAATTGCTCGATGGACTTTCCTCGGATAGCTCCGTGGATGGGTTGCTCTTCCGCTTCGTCAACCTCATGGCCAGCAAATGGTGTATCATGGCCAGATCATGTAAACTCGCCTCATCATCCAGAACTAACGTGATATCCGCCGTCATGTCCCAGATTAAACCGGCGTTAGGATGAGGACACCAAGAAGGCTTCATGAGTTCCCACATCGTTACTAGACTGGTTTTCAAGGGACCGTCCCAAGAACCATAATCAAACTCACTTGCCCCTTTAGCTCGGGAACCGAGGGTTCGACCATTCGTTCTTCCAAGATAAATCCCAGCTTGGGTTGTTCCACCATCAGCATTCCAGTTTCTTTAATCCGTTCAATCCAGAAATTGAGTACTATGACTTGCTCATAGTCGAAGTACGCTTCCCTGGCTTCTTCATTCACGAAGGGATTATACGCCATCCCCGGTATGCCCGACACATATTGGAACGACTTCAGTCTCCCTAGTGTTGCAAAGTCTTTTTGTCCCTTGACTGCTTCAATCAACTCCCGGCTCACTTTCAATTCTTTGTTGGAATATCTTCTCACTTCTTCCAACTTGCGATAGCTCTCCATGTCATTCGACTCCTTATTTGGTACAGTCAACGGCATATCCTGATATAGTTCCAGGAGTGCCCTAAGGAAGTTCCTTTCGCAATCAACTCCCTTATGCCGAATGATCTTTATACATTCTCCCAAAACAGGAGTGGGGATACGATCCACCACGAACCTGACAAAGCAAAGGGCATCCTTACGCTTAGCCCATGCTATCGCAGAATCGTCTTTCGAAATCAACGCTCGCAGAGCTTCCATCAACTCCAGCTCCTGTTCCCGTGATTTCGAATCATTACTGGCTTCATATTCCGCCTTCTTGATGCCCATCAAGCACCAAGCCAACCGTACTTGCTAGTCAGTTCTCGTGCACGGATGAGCCAGGTACGCTGCCACCGTCGCAGGTGCATGCATCGTCTCGTCGAAGTATCTCTGGAGGGCCGCCCTCCAGGAAATTTCTAGTAGTTTTTCCAATCCGATTTCGTTCGCTTCAGAGGACATTACCGTGCCGTATTCTTTCCGATTTAAGTTTGAATTCTCCGTAAGCTCTTTCAGATATTCCTGCATGGCTCGCTTCTCGCTCCAAGCCATCAGGTGCCATCTCGCGGAGTTTCTCGCTTTCAACATCTCCACATAACCCCTTGCTGGATCTCCCATGTGGACCGATTCCGGCACAGTGACTCGACTGTACTCGACCACGTCGAGTTGTCCTTCCAGTTTCAACTTGGCCATGTTGGTCCGCTAGGGCCTGTAATCTTCAAGTCCTCCAGATCCACATTGACTGATTTAGTGTCTGCCAGGGTTCGTGCTGTTTTCTTTGATCTCACGGCTGTCGTAGTCAGACCTGCCAAGAGCATAGGGGGTATCAGATTCTCTTTTTCTCCCCCTGTCAGTGTTGCACCATCTCCTTGCCCGCTCTCGCCTGAACGACCTGCGCTCGTTAAAGAGGCCACCACTGCGCTGGCTTTCGACTTCACCACTCTCGAGTTCACGGCTCGACTTCCTGTCTTCCCTTTTAGTCGCTTCAGCCCCTTCCTGGCTCGTCTGACAGGTAATTTCTTTGCAACCTGCTGATCATCGGCACTGTCTTCTGTTACTGACTCGGTCAGAACAACCGACTCCATGGAGTTCA